CCATAGAGATATTTTGCTTGAAAATCCCAAACTGACGGCATAAAAAAGGTCAATATTAAAAAGTTCCTAATTGCATTTCTAATAATTCTTGTTTTTATTTTTTAGAGACTTGTCTAATAACCCGTTGAAGAATTTGCCATCTGACATTTTCGCCACAAATACTAAATTGGATTTGCTGTAAGTAGATTTTTCCTCTATTAGGGACATCACAAAATATTTGTCTTTATAGTTTAAAACTCACTCACTCACTATTACGTGACGTGTTTGGGTTCCATTTTTAGCTTGAAAAACAAAAATTCTCTCTGATATTATCATTATACGCTGAGACTAACAGATCATGTGGTGACATTAGGAAGCCTTTGAGAAAAAGTATGCAATAAAGTAATTGAACAAAGATCCTCCAAGTTGAAGTGGAATTTACACAATTTCAGAAATTGAGAAGCCTGAAGAAAAAATTCAGGCTTCAACGGGTTCGAGCCCAAGCCTCCCCGAACTTGGTAGGGTCCTTCTATCAACTGAGCCTTGAGGCTACTCGTTGAGACTAGGCACATTTTAGAGGGTTCTTCTTTTCCATGGAAGAATCTTATCATGATTTGTAACGAAATAAATGTTGTTGATGAAAATCAAGCAAAGCAGTCTGATCCTGCAGGTAAGGTGGAATTGCACAATTGCGCTTGCAAAGATCAGTTTTGTACTTGATTTTCATCTGCAGGTCAAAATATAACTTATTTCTTAAGAAAATAAGATCAAAATTCACAATAATGTGGACAAGATATCGCAAGAACGCTTAGAATGTGAGGAGGAAACTTCGATGACGTATTCGAGAATTAGAAAATATGTATTCGGAGCAAAAATTTCCAAAGGAAACGGGGAAACTACGAATATCGTAAGAAGAACCACCGAAAAAAAATAGGGTCCGAGAGGTAGCAGCGAGACCGGTGTAGCTAGCGAATTGTCTTGGAGGCCTCACGAGTACCTTTTTCCTCCGTCAAAGAGCACAATTATGTTAGGATAAGCATGACAGGAAATATCTTGACAAGTGAGAACATTAAAACACATGTACATAGCTGCGCCATTTTGATTTTGAGCGAAATTGTTTCACGGTAAAAAATAATGTATCAATAATTACCCGTTTGAGTTATCTACACAATCCTGTATTTCAAAATTGAGTTTATTCGGCTAGTCATCTGCTTTATTACTTTATAAGCGTCCAAGCTCTGTACTATGCTATACCAAATTTTGGTCAAATTTATAGGTACCTGTCTGAAATAAAATTGCACCACCTACCTCCAGGAATCTTTGACAAGAACGCACGGCTAACCCAACTGTAAGTAACACTTTGCGATCCTATGCGATCTGAGTCTCCTATATTTTTTTTCCTTCTTTGTGAAAAGACAATACAAGATCGGGACGAGTCTGAGTGATGCAATGCAAGCGTTAATAAGATTAAACAAATTTGCAAATATTTTTTTATTCATAATATGTAGCTATTTAAGTACAAAAGAAATTCACCTACAGCTAATTCTTCTGGTCAACTTTCGCACCTGCGGACTGAAAACTCTGATCTCAGACCAGCTGCACAACAGTTCTAAAGGCCTCCAACTGCTTTTTGTTGTTGTCGTTGTTTTATTAAATTTATCAGATCATTCGTTTTACTTCGCAAATTAAGAATTAATATCAAACATCATGAAGATCATACATCGTCTGTTGCATTCTGGATCTTTGTCCAGGACTGACCGTTTATGAGATTCCGTCCTCTGTATAAAAGGCATCAAGAAGTGCTTTCATTAAATAAAAAGATCATTCCAATTTCCATCATTAACAAATTTCCATATCTATGTCAAATTTAATTATAATCTTATGTTGTAAAATGAGTAAACGGTGAAGTTAGCACAAACAACTCTTCGCTCAATGACAGTGATGCCGACTTTTGCTCACAAGTCAAAACAACCGTAACTGTCTTCGACAACAGCCCTGAAAGGTTTCAGTAGTACCCCTATCTAAGCAGATAAACTTCTGGTGGATCTTTAAACTAATCGTCAGTTTTATATGGTAAATAACGCAGACGCCTGAATGACAACGACATGAAAGGGTTGAATGGAAGTGCCTTCAAAAACTTGACAATGCTAGAGGAACTGTAAGTTAATGTATCAATACTGTTGTGGAAGGAAAACTGTTTTTGTAACGCAGCAGCATTCCCCTCTCTTACCGCCTTGTCTATACTTGTTTTTCAAATTAACTTTTTTCCTTTCTCTTTTCTTCCCTTCCACTCAGTGATCAAAAGACGATTCGGTAAATAACTGTTTTAATGAAACTAAACATATTTTACATACAGGTCACATACTTTTTTTTTAATTTCAACACAGATGGTTGCAAGACAACAACTTCACGGAATTGCCTCCTAATTTATTCCAAGATCTAAAAAGCTTGAAAGAACTGTAAGTTATTTCATTCCAAGCTTTCCCTTGTTTTAACTCAATGACTACATAAAGTGTTCCAACACTTAGTAAAATTTTCCTTTCTTTTGTTAAATCACTGCTAGTGTATTTTAACACAGATTCTGGTAGTATCATACTTTTCGTCCCTTTCTCTAATTAGAGCATATAGAAAGAAAATCTTTTCCAGTTGCAGATTATAAAATCTTCCCATCTGCACTTATAACACGTTTTAAAATTGAACCATCTAGAATTTTGTGTTTGTTGCTGAACTAACATTTCAGTGACAACGATCATACATACAACAATGAAATTCACGCATGTTATGAATATCAGAGTTGTTTTTATGGGTTATCTTTCTCTGTTTTGAACCATGTTGGCATATTTTCTTAGATCACGAGCTTAATGATTTCATTATTGATCCAAGAGGCGGTCATTGCCAGTGTTGGGGAAAAGAGTTCAGTATGCACGCAGATTTCAAGTTTTCAGCGGCCTTCAATTGCTTTTTGTCATAAATATTGACCAAACTAAATGAATGAAGTGACTCTTGAATATTCTCTGTACTGTAAGACAAAACATTGCATGTGTATCACTACGTACTTCTCTTTGTTCTTTGGTTGTTTCTGATGACCAGAATCTTTATGTATTTTTACCTATAAATTTCAGTTTGCAGACTTAATGAAAATGCATTTTCTTGTTTCGTCATTCCTATCAGCTATCTGTCAAATAACAAGTTGAAGAGTCTACCAGACGGACTTTTTAACAGCCTTTCCAAGCTGACATATTTGTAAGTGAGTTAGTTATTTAACCAAGGAGATAATTGGACAGAAACAAATGATCATTCTTAAAATATTTTTTTAAAAGCACAGCCATCATAGTTGAAACATCATGAAGTTTTCCAGCTCGTATCTGCAAATCTTAATTGAAGTAGACGATGCTATCTTATGTATTTCTTGTGCTTCGGTTAGTAATGTTAAGTTACTTTGTGGTGTAAGAATTTAATAGCTTCTGATTAAATAGCAACCTTAACAATTCCCAGATTTCAGTTGGTAGCTCTAACATAAGCGAAATTTTAGTAACTGTGTAATAATTGTTTTCAGGGATTTATCAAACAATGAACTTGAAAATCTGCCAGCGTATGCTTTCAAAAACATAAGAGCGGTAAAATTTCTGTAAGTAAGATTGATATCGTCCCAAAATATTAAGAATTGTTTTAAAAGATTTTCTTGAAAATAACAGCACTTGGTGACTATAAAAGCTTCTCAGTGAATGACAACTTACATTGTAAATTACTTCTGGAAGGCAAAGGTTGTTTTGTTTCCTTTTTATCCGAGTTGACAATATCTAAGAATTTGTTGTATTGCCACATCAAACTACCCTGGCACTAATTTTGTAATTTGTAACAGAGAGTGAACTTGAGAGTTTTCGCGCTTAATCTTGAGATCATTATAGATAAGTCTAATGTGTTCTTTGAAGATTAAGATATAAAGACTGGGAGCTATTTTACTGGAAAACGTTGCCATTCCCTGCCTTAACCGCAAATCTTACAAAAAAAAAGTAGAGCTAAAGATATCACTACACATTTCATTCTAAACTGCACATAATGCTTTCTTCAGGAAAATGGAGTACAACAAAATTAAGAAGCTTCATGAAGATCAGTTCCAGGGCTTGGTGGAGCTATTAGATTTGTAAGTGCATTTAGAGTTTAAACCATTTTCCATAATGATCTGAATCTCAAACCGTATACAGTAATATTTTTTTACTGTTAACTCCGTCATTGCTCAAATAAAATTTGCCTTACCCAATCATATTATGTTACTGTACTTTAATATTTATTTCCTTATCCGTTTCCTTTGTTTAAGATATCTCTCGGAGAACAAAATCGAGGCTCTGCCTGATAAAATTTTCAAGGGCGTTAAAAAGCTCAGATCTCTGTAAGTACAGTTAATCACATACAAAACATTCCAGAATATTTGAAGTGATAGAATGAATATGATATCAGCGTTCAAAATCTGAGATTTTTGTCTACAAATTTACCACGATGTAGAACAGGGGTGGTGCCAGTTATCTTCCTCAACAAAGCAATGTTTTTTTAATTTATATTGCACTAAAAATGTGCCTTTATATAACATACTTTTGGTGCACCTAGGTGGATATTATGAAAAAGCGGAAACAAACATTGTGGAGATCTATGTAGTCTTAACTGAAATTCCATGAGAATTTATTAGAATGAGGAATGTGACTGCTGCAAGTCCCCGTTTTGGTGTTAGTTGTAAATAGTTACGTTCTTCGTTTCAGGAATATCTTCGGCAATAGGATACAAAACGTTACCAGCACGACTTTCAACTATGCCCACGAATTGCGAATGTTGTAAGTTTACTGCAAATGACAGATGTTTATCTAGGCAACTAAACTTAGTTGCATATATTGAAATCAGATAACATTCTTTTGATTTCGTTTTGTCAAAGAAAAGACTCGTGCAAAGTAATTTTGGAAAATAACATAAATATACTAAAGGAATTTTTCCCTGGAAGAGTCCGGAAAGAGGCTTTTGTACAGCGAACGACCTCAACCGAATGGGCTGCCACGTCCATAAAATCAGTAGCCATCAAAAATTTCCAAGAAAGCAAGACGAGACTTATCTTAGGCTAAATGACTACTTTTGAAAGAATCTTTGAGAAAACATCAAGCTAGGGTCCGTACTGAAGATCCTCAGCTAGGTTCCTGATTTTGTCTTTTTGGACAGTCAATTTGAACATTAACATTAACTTAATGAATCTTATTATTGAAATTCACTTTTTTAGGTTATTTATGATATAAACCAACTTAAAATTCACATTATGATTATTTTAAATCACAGGTTCATGCATTACAACCTGATGGCCGAGCTCCCCAAAGGCTTTTTCAAGCATTTGACGCACATCATCAGAGTGTAAGATTCCATGACGATCCTTTCCTTCACTCATCCCTTCAAACAATTATTTTAATAATAGTCTATGTTATTAATCAATTAATGATTATTAAGGGATTTCAACGATGCAATAATAGTGTTATTTCTTAATTTTTTTCTTTTTTTTTCGAATTCCAGAACTTTGGACACCAACCTGATGTGCTGCCATCTCGATCTTTTCAGGCAGGATGCTGATTGCGAATACTCCTTCAATGACAATTTCGCAAGCTGCCACTCCATGTTCCGCCACCATGCTCCAAGGAGAACTCTTTGGATTGTCGGTCTTCTCTCGTTGCTAGGGTCTTTATTCGTAGTTGGGTGGCAGTATTTCTACCCTGATAACAATGTGGTCCAGTCTATCATGTTGGTGAATCTGGGTGTATCTGACGGTATCATGGGTATATACCTAATCATTATAGGCATAAAAGACCTGCAATGGTCAGGGGAATACTACCTGCATGACTATGAGTGGCGCACCGGTTGGTTTTGCCATTTCAATGGTGCCATGTCTGTCTTTTCAAGTGAAGTGTCAGTGATGATGATTTCTCTGATCGCATTGGACAGACTCAAGAACATCGTGTTTCCTTACACCTTTGCAAAAATTACCCCAAGGCAGACCCGTATAATGTGCGTAGTTATCTGGCTGGTGGGAGGCGTTATGGCATTCCTTCCCTTGTCCGGAATGCACTATTTCAGTGAGAGGTATTATGGCAATAATGTAGTGTGCCTGCCCCTGCAGCTTTCCCCTGAATTACAAGAAGGCTGGGAATACTCCACTTCCATCTTTATCGTTTTGAATTTTTCCCTATTCATCTTCATCATGGTTGCTTATGTTGCCATCTTGTGGAAATCATGGTCGTCAAGCAGACGGCTTGGTGCACATGGAACTGTTCGTGAAATACGAGCAAGAGCACAAAGTGCACAAGCTAAAAGAGAAAGAGCACTTGCCAAAAGAGTCTTCTTCATTATTCTGACCGATTTCTTGTGTTGGATGCCAATCATTGCTATCGGCATCCGGTCCCACGTCGAGAAAACATTTGATCCACCTGGTGATCTGGCAGTGTGGATTGCAGTGTTCGCTCTGCCGATCAATTCAGCTATCAACCCATTGCTGTATACGCTTTCTACTCCACAGGTAACATGTTTCTCTTTTTTGTTACTTTGGAATAGCACCTACCGTTATGTTCAAATTTGGTTTCGTGTCAGAGCAGGCTGGCAACTCAATTTTGTAATTGTAACGATTGACATACAAAACAAGCATGAAAAAGTAAATGATCGGACAGATTTTTTTAGCTTCTCCGCCGTTGACTTTAGCCATAGAGACCAACGTGACTTCTAAATACGTTACTTGAAAGTCTTAACGTAAACTATTCAATATATTTTGAATGTCTAGGTTCAGCCTGTGTTGAAAGCAAAACTGAGGAAGTTGTGGTCCAATGTTCGATCTATTTTCAGCAGAGGACAAAATCAAGAAGGTACAGTTTTAAGTTCCATTGAAAAATACCACGATAACAATAATTATATTTCAAACCTTGAAATGAAGAAACTTTAACTTTTATCAAATTGAGTATGAGCAACCCAGTTTTCTTTAAGTAACTTATGTGATTTTTACTCCAAGGCTTTCGAGGGGGAATAGGATAGAACTGGCATGAAATCGTAGAAAACACATGTATTTTTTTTTTCGAAAAAGAAACTGAGCAAATTATTGAAACCACAAATGTACAACTTACAATATGTAAAGTTGTAGCATACGTAAAAGAGAAAGCAAGAGTGATCCTAAATAGAGAGGGCATCAATGTATTAAATCATCAATTTTAATGGTGGAAATCATGCTTTCAGTTCGATTTTTGAAGGTTAGTATCTCTAAAACTAAACTATTAGGGAACATTGAGACAAATGGATGCCATTTGCGATAGATTTTTAAAATAGCATGCCAGTCAAAACTCATTCTGCAAACAATTCTCAAAGTATGAATTGCTTTACTTCTGTCTTAAATCATAAGGTTAAGATTCTGAATTGTAGAATGCTTTTTTTATATAAACCTGACAATGGCCATTAAGTTTTTAATTGGTGTTATTTTCTCATATGAAAGAAGCAGATAATGATCAGCAGGGACAGATTGGAAATGGAGATGAACATGCTAACGTCGAAGAGGGTAAAAATAGAGTGCTTCTTAGTGTAGTCACATACGAAATATCTCCTCCACGCCTTTGTAGGGTTCTCTGTATGATACTTTTCTTTCCTTTCTCTTTTCTATACTTAATTCCTTTTTTCATTTTCTTTCCCGTAGGAGAGCAAATTGAAATGCAGGTATTGGAACACAACGAAATCCCAGAAGTGGAAGCCCCTGAATTACCTGCACCGCAACCAGGTCAGTTAAGAAATATAAGAGTTTTGATGCTAACGATAAAGCTAATTGACTTTGCAATCCAAAACTCTTGGCAGGTATCTATAGTTTAATCAATTAACCTAACAAATATTAGTTCTCTCAAATTGAAATACCTATAGAAACCATAGCATTCCTTTTCTGCTCTGATAATTTCTGTAGGTGCATTTTAAGAAAGGATAGATACTTAATTCCTGTTTTTCATTTTCTTTCCCGTAGGAGAGCAAATTGAAATGCAGGTATTGGAACACAACGAAACCCCAGAAGTGGAAGCCCCTGAATTGCCTGCACCGCAACCAGGTCAGTTAAGAAATATAAGAGTTTTGATGCTAACGATAAAGCTGTAATTGACTTTGCAATCCAAAACTCTTGGCAGGTATCTATAGTTTAATCAATTAACCTAGCAAATATTAGTCCTCTCAAATTGAAATACCTATAGAAACCATAGCATTCCTTTTCTGCTCTGATAATTTCTGTAGGTGCATTTTAAGAAAGAATTTAAACTTAATTCCTGTTTTTCATTTTCTTTCCCGTAGGAGAGCAAATTGAAATGCAGGTATTGGAATACAACGAAACCCCAGAAGTGGAAGCCCCTGAATTGCCTGCACCGCAACCAGGTCAGTTAATAAATATAAGAGTTTTGATGCTAACGATAAAGCTGTAATTGACTTTGCAATCCAACTCCCTTGGCAGGTATGTATAGTTTAATCAATTAACCTAGCAAATATTAGTCCTCTCAAATTGAAATACCTATAGAAACCATAGCATTCCTTTTCTGATCTGATAATTTCTGTAGGTGCATTTTGAGAAAGGATAGATTAAGGAATGGTTTCCCATATGACAATAATGTGACGAAATTAGGTTATATTACTTTTGGTTGATAAGTTACCTCCAGACATTCTGGTGATAAATTGCCATATGCACTTTTTAAGACCTCCACTCATGAGATCCCCATTCCTTTACATTGGTAACCTGTACAGTGTATTATGGACGGAAGATACCATCGTCTCCCATATGACACGGTTGTAGTTAATAAATGATACATATATATTGAAAATGATCTTTCATTGTTTCCAGTTTTCAGTTATATTGTATGAAGAATAACTTAAAGATAATTCTTTGCTCTGTTGACAGCAATTGAACAAGCCTGTGGAGGGGATGCGAATCCATCTTCCTCAGGTAAAAATTTATTTATGAAAGAAATATAAAAAGAAGGCGTAGACAACCGCTTGATTTAAGAGAAGTACTAGTACTGCAAAAGTCACAGTTGCCCAATGTGACTTCAACTGCAAATTGCTTTTTACAAACGGTCATAGGAATCGCCAAAATGAAAAAAGGTAATGCGTCTTAACAACTGTATTTGGCAGAGATATTATTTCAGCAACTATTTTCATGCGCCCAAATTAACTTTCAGATTTAAATGTGAGCTTTGTAACTCGGTGTTATTTCATAAATCAATAAATAATTGAATACATCTGAAATTCTGACGTACCTAAAATAAAATTTGTAGAGATATTTATTGCAGAATAACACATGAACCATAAGTATCATGAAACATTTTACTCTACTTGTTCCTTAAAACAGATTATCAGGAGGATTTTGACATCAGACCAGCCACTACAAAGACTGTGGAAGGTAAACACCTTTTCAATTTTCATTTCATTTTTTTTCGGAAATTTCGTAACTCTAAAAAAAAACAGCGAATGGTGGCTGGTGCTATCAAGCTGGCGCACTTGGTATACTTGATTGCATGGTTTTGTATGTCACACCAATAAGATTGGGGTTATAATGTCAACGTTTAATCACCAATCAAATCACGATTCTAAGTCTGTCACATGAAAAAATTTACGAGAGCAGCTTGTCGGTCTCTATTTCCGGTAAGGTACAAAACCCTTTCTCAGTTACTAAACCTAATGGGTAGATGAATTTAAAAAAGTCTTATTGGAAAGTTTGTTGTCGTCAAAGACTTAAGACTTAGTTGCGTTGTAAATGTAACTAACGTAACTTTTAATAATAAATCTGATTTCACACAGCTGGTAAATCTGAGGAGCAGGTGGAGGTTGAAGAGATTTCAGTGCCCAGTAACAAAGGTAAAGGAGATAATGGTTTTTGATTGGTCACTAACCATTAATGATTTTAACTTCTAATGATTTTAACTCCTAAGTACAAAGACAAAATTTAATGACTGTATACTAACTTTTTTCGTATCAAATAAATCATTTTCTAAAGGAGCTAAAAAAGGTGAAGAAGAAGTGAAGGCGCCTGAGCCTGACATGGATGTCGCAGAGGAAGGTAACATTTTTTTATAAATCAGAAGAGATAAATTCAAATTGGTCCACACATGCTTTATAAGGTGATGCATAATCAGTCCACTCAATTGGCTGAAGATCACTTGAAGTGCTTAGTCCAAAGGTCGTGGTTCATATCGGGAGGTGACTTCATTGAGAAAAAACAAAAAAACGACACCACTTGGGCATTATTATACCTCCTCGTAACGAAGAGCCATTACTTTTTATACAATGCTAAAATCAAACATTTATGAATTTATGAAGCCGTTTTACTAGTTTGTTTGTTTGGGTTTTTTATGGATACAGAAATAATTTTCCCAGATACAGAAAACATAGCCGCCTCTTACCCCAGCTCATTGAATGGACATGGTTACTTTGATGTTGTGTACCTCAGTTTTCAAAACACCTCAACACAGACATGCAAAAATTTAATGAGCTTTGATAAGTGGCAGCCCTCTTTTCTGTGTTTGTGAAAATTATTATTCTATCGCTTAAAAGAAAATGAGCGCATTGTATTTCAATCTCTTTTCGTATTCCATCCAGGGGAAGAAGAGGTGTTTGATACCAGACTTTAGTTCTTTGTTTTCGAACCAAGGTAAATGCTTATTACGTCTGCTTTAATACTGAATACCGCTGACTAAAGGGTTGTGGAAAACAAATCCCTCTAAAGAAAATGGTTTTTTTTTGTTACATGCATCTTTCTAATCTTATAGAATACGTGTAATATTTGAGATGTAGGGTGAACTCTATGCTAAATTTTTTAAATCCTTGGCTAATTCAAACCAATTTCAAATTTGAGATTTCACCGCAACTGTAATGATTGAAGTTATTGGAGATGAAGAAGGAAGTCTGATTTTTTATTGCTATAATATGCTGTTTGTCTTTTTTCAAAGTCACTTGCGAATTTTTTTCAGCTATCCCCTTCATTGTTGGCAGTAAGGGTACCAAAACATTTTCAAATTGATCAATTTTTTTCTCTGCTTTTGTTGATGTATGATTTGAAAAATTATAATAAAAAAAAAACTTCTGGGTGGCGAGTACGCCGCACTGATGAGTGCTCTCTCTGTATATGCTTGTATATTCATATCTGCCTTCTGTCCTTAAAGCACTGACCAGCTTACTCACTGACAGTCTGGTCACTTGACTTTCTGACTAACTGGCCGGTAAGCCGTCAAATTGAATTGACTACCTGAGCTATGACTACTGGCTGACTGACAGATGGGCTGATTATCTGCCTGACTGTTTTCCGGACTCTCCACCTGGCCAGTGGGCATGGTTATTACTAACTAGATTATATTATGGCTGCAATACACTTCAATGCAGACATGTAAACATTTAATGCTAGACTGACTGATTGTCGGGTCAGTATATCAAACAAACAACTAATCGATAATTAACTTTTGCATTCATTGATTAGCATGCTTTTTTCTTTTGCGTCTGACAGTCTACAAGAGCCAAAAACATTGCCATTAGTATGGAGACCGCGAGTGCTAGAGAAAAACTAGAAAAAGTTCAAAGAAAAGGGAAAAAACAATTCTAGTAATCAATACGTATGGTCGTATGGTAACATCTTAGTAAAAAAAATCTGCTTTTTAATCCCTTTTTTTTAGATTTAATTTTAACAATAATTAGTAATTAAGTATAGTTATGGTAATTATGGTATATTATGGTAATTAAGTATAGTTGGAGTGGAACATATTGTGCTATATCTGAGTAGGCGTGTAGTGGTAGTTCATCTTTCTTTTGTTTTTTTTTTCCCGTTTTTGGTTTGTTTGTTTGTTTGTTTGTTTTTGTAACATGTACATCTACCTGACACTTTAAGTCTGTTAGTTTTAGCGTATTTCTAAAGACCATGATTGCTACACCGCAGTTAAGTCGGATGGCTCAAAACGGAGTACAACAATATCAGGGGTGTAGCCAGCCTAGAGTCCTGTACCATTAAATTTTATCATATCACTCTTGCAAATTTTGAAACAAAAATTGAACTTTCTCAGGGTATAAGCCCACGACAAGTCGAAAAGCTGGCTATAGTCCTGATGTGATAAGATATTCTATTCTGCATGCTGATCTTTCCATCATTAAATAAAATATAGCTGAGTAAATGTTTTGATTAGGAATGCCTCACTGGTTTTAAAAGTAATGTTTAAGCTCATTTCCATGGAAAATGTTAAGTTTATTCGGAGTTTACTCATAGTTTAGAGGGGATTTGATGTCCCAGAAGAACTTTCTTGTAGAGTTCCTAATATAGAAAAGAGCATAGAAGGTTAATAATGTGATAAAAATAGAAAACTAACGAGCTTTAAAAAGAATTATCAGATATTAATCTGCACAACAACTATTTAGATAATTCATTTCTAGGTTTTGTTTAAACACGAAAAATCATCTAAAATTTGACAAGAAAAACTTAGACAAATGCACGGGTTGAGGACGTCCACTTACTAGATATTTGATGGTACGCTGGTAATCTAAATAGTTCATTTCTTAACATTTTAGAACTCATCCGCGAGCATTAAAGTCATAAGGAGTTAAAGTGACGTTAATTTTGGGTTGTATATTAAATTAAAGAACTTAGACTTGCGGTTAAGATTTCCGCAGCTAGTAGACATTAGGCGGTACAGTAACAATCTGAATAGTTCGAACATTACTACAACTCGTCCGGCGAGTATTCAGAGTACGTGTCGAGTTGTTTAATTTCGTTAGTATCTCTAGCTGAAAAAAAAAAGGTAAAAATGTCACCCAAAAAAAGAGAAACAATTACTGGATAAGACGTCATGCATTAGAGATTTAACAATATATTGAATGACCTAACTAGCTCATTTCTAGAATTTTTATAACTCGTATGAGAGCATAATGATAGCTAAAAGGTAGAGTGACGTCTATTTTCGTTATGTTACTACGTTCTTTATGAACGCAAATTCCTTAAAAAAGAAATTAGAAAGATGTTGTGGTAACGAGTAACAAGTCAGATATAGGATATTAATTGGTACAACAACAATCTGATAGTTCACTTCCACAACAAGCTTGCGAGTGCTTTGCATGCAAACTACGTTTAGAATTGTTAGAGGAAATAAACAAGGTCAGAGTTCGTTTGTTAGAGGTTTTTATAGAATGAAAATAATTTAAATAGGTCCTGTCTTAGAGTTTTTATAACTCGTTTGCGAGAATTATAGTCATTAGTGACCTCTGTCATGGCTGAAGCCTGCCTCTTTACATAATTTACATTATTATTAACATTAACCTGAAAATCGACAAAAAAAGAAAAAAGGTCTTAGAATACCACTAACTTAGATATTTAGTAGTGTTTTTAAATCTAATTTTGTAGCCCATTTCTAGATTTTTTTAACTCACAACGAGAATTCTAGTTCATTGTAGTATGTGGTATTTTTTTTAACTTTGTTCAAAGTGATCATTAACATGGCTTCTACAGTAAGAATAACTTGAATGTGTGAGTGGCTTTTTGAGGGAAGTAACACCGAGTTACGAAGAAGGGTTCCAGATCTACTGTAAAACGTTAACGAAGACTTCAATAAAACATCTTTATGACCTTACACATGAGTCCGTTCTCAGTTTACCCTGTCAAGGTTTCTAAGTCACGCTTCGGGTTCATCCACAGTGTGGATTATGTGCCACAATGACCTGTGACAAGTAAACTGATACAAAATTGCTTTCTGTATCTCTCATAATGTTGAACTTTTCGTTTTAATGAATTATTCAGTCTGAATTTTTCCCAGAAACTGAGCTGTTTTCTTTTAAAACCATAATGTATCTTCTTGACGCGACTCTCTTGGAGGTTTTTGGTTACACCCGATGTAAAAAAAGGGGTAACAAATATATATTTCCGGGAGGTTAGGAAACATTTTTAAGCTTTACATTTCTATCCTAAGACTTCCACCAAGGGTGGATGGGAGTGACGGTTAGCATTTAAAAAACCCTCAGATATGGAATCGTTACTGCACTGTGATTGGTTTAGAAGTCTCGCACCACCCTTTGTTCTGCCTTTTAGGGTGTTGACTCGTCATGAATTTTAGTCCTTAGTGACTGCTTGTGATATTTCATTCTTGTCAACCGCTGAGCGAACTTAAGAAATTCAATAATTTGCCATTGCGGTTAAATTTACTGGGGGACTAGAATTTACGCTCCAAAGTTATATTTCCAGTGAAGGACTCGAAGGTGTAACATGTAGAGATACACAGCTAATTATGACCACACTTGAAAGAGACCTTCAGTTAAACCTGAGTAAATCGAGTCACAAACCTGAGTGAAACTAACTTAACTTAAATAACTTAACGTCTGTACAACCCACTAGAAGCAAACCGGAAAATCTTCCCTTCCATTCTACACTCTTCCTCGTGCTACACAGCTAACCTTGCCTCTGGAAGCCTGACACAGTGAGGACGAGCATAAACTTGGGGTAAGTGAGAGTAAAATCGAATTAGAATGAAGGAAGGTGTCATACCTTCCCAGAACCTCGCCGATTTTTGCTCGCTCTCTTTTACTCTTCTCTCCTCTTACCGCGAGCCTATCACCAGCTATGCCTTTAACGACGAAAAAAGAGGTTTTCTCACAAATTTAATTCACGCGGATCACATCTACATGAACTGATCATTTTATAAAATGAAACATATGGAGAAAAGGTAAATCAATAGAAGGCGTTCATGCATATTAGCTTGTTAATGAATACTTCTGCAGTTAAACCACTTTTTACATATAATTACAAATACAACATTCTTTTGAAATATACTCGAACTTATATTATCTTCAAATTCACCGGTGTCTTCTGTAAAAACTCCATTGACGGGACAAGCTAAGCTTTCAACTCCACCTCGAGACAGAGATTTCAACATTTTAGTTCGCACCTTTGATATACGATTGTGGAACACCAGGGTACGCGTATCGTCGACTCTCAAGTGTTTTCATTCCTATCTGAAATTGCGTTAGTTAATCGTATTCTTCTCACTTTTTTCTTAAGCATGAAATCTTTAATAAACTGTGATTCGTCTAGAAATCTCGCGCCACCCTTTTTTTCCTACATACGACTATGGAATACCAGGTTACGAGTTTGGTTCGTTAGCGCGTAGCGTCTACTACAACGCCTTTGCGCATTTACGGGCGGAACGGGGAAAGACAGAATGTGGCCGAGACTAGTTCAGAATCATTATATACCACTTCGATAAACAAATCATGGCCGGTGATAGAAATTGACTCCAATAGCACGAATGGTAATGTACACTGAAGAGGTTCGAATGGTGAGGACTGAGCCGCTCTCCTTGTTTCAGCCTATATGACGAGCACGTGATGTTCGTGTGATTTCTCAACCAGCATGCATTTCGTGCTGGTAGAGTTTCACAATTGGTTCAATTTAACGCACTATAAAGATGGAATTTTAGTCTGCACTGTTTACAATACAGCGTATACCCAAAGCGATACAAATGACAGTAATTTCCTTTACAATTTCGAATTACATTTTCTCGGCTAAAGCAATACTTAACTAGATGAAACTTTACAAGATTACCAAGTTAAGTATAAATCAGAGCTGGAAAAAATATCCAGTATGGTTTCTAATTAAGCTGCCATAAGCCCGGGGTAAGTGTTTAATCATCATAAAAAATAGTTCTTGTTGCGCTGGGGCTTGCAGGAGGGCGAGACGAACTTGTGGGTCTTCTTTTGTTTTTTACTTTAACCTTCCTCTTCGATAGCATCAGCGCCTAAAGAAAAAAATAAGTGAACTTACGATGAAATTTCGAGAAGTGTTCGATGGCCGTTTGGGTTCTAGCAATATTTTCTTAATTCTTCAAAGAATTCTGAACCAAAGTCGTCCGGTTATAAACGTTTTATTGAATTCTTGGATGTAAATGTTGACAAAAAAAATAATAATAAAAAGTTTCTCAGGTAAAAAGATAAAACTAAATTGATTTTTCGAAATGTTCTAGGTGCATTTTTAACACTGAGATATGCGAGTCCAATCACAAGCCTTTCATTTTCCCCAAACGGTAATCTTTTACAGCGTCGTTACACAGTTTTCTGTAAATACCTGTGTTAGTATGGGCCGTACAATCACATTACCAGGAGGCTGCATCCAAGGTTCACCATCTATTTGTACGGGCATCTCTGATTTTAATTTGATGTTGATCTGTAATGAAGTAATAATAATTGTCATCAATTAAGAAAAAAAACATTGAAGCGGATGAATGAAGAGGGTAAATTTCTAAAGAAACTGTGGTTCTGCGTCGGTGTGTGGGGGGGGGGGGGAGGGGGGAAGGGAAGGGGTGGTATTACATGATAGTTTTTTTATCAACTGATTTTATAAAGTAAATATGCAGAAAAAAATGACGCTACGCCACTGGTGGGAACATAGTAACGTGAAAAACAGAAATTACAAGAGAATAGTACGAGGATAATCAACTTATGGCTTCATTATGTTATTTACTGGATTACAACCAGACATCTATACCTGGGCTCCTGTGCTAGCCGAATACCAGTCCTGATTCCACTTTGAATTTGACCCTTTTAATAAAGAATTCGTCTCAATTAAGAACTAAGGCACCATTTTTATTGCTAAATAAAAACGTTTCCTATGCAAATACTTAAGAAGAAAGGAAAAGGCAGGATACAAAAATTGTGGCTATTAGTAGAAAAAAATACGTGGAGCAGATTGGAGAGAACAGTATGGTGAATATGCCTGCTGATGCTAGGGTCGAACGGGTAAAGATGGTGGTGATTCTGACTCACTAGGTGCATTACTCCCTGAAGTCCAACCACCTCGACAAGACCGTCACAGTGACAAGCTGAGGCATGACCCTGCAAAAAGATTCAAGCAATTTCAATTGTGTGTGGAAAAGGAATCCGGGATTGCACTTATTTCGTTTAACTTCGCTTTGCGATTGGTCCAGATAACTCAAGCCACTATCTGAACCAATCATGGGAAAAATTAAAACCAAAAGTGGTTTGGTCATTCGCAACTTCCCGCGCTAATGGCAGTTTGCGCCATTCTTCTCTTCGTACTTATTGGCTTCTTGAACTTTCGTCGGTTCTGATCGGCCGTTGTGATAACTTCATGGTTGGCTTCTTCATAGCAGATGCGCTGAATCTTAGAGTCTTTTCCAGACCTCACCTTCTGAGGACAACATGTCATGGTTATTTTATCAGCTGTTTGGTGCTAAGAATATGAGCAGATATCACTACTAAATTCATGAAGTACTGCATACATCTTCTTTGTTTGGTCCCCATGCATCTGTGCCTGCTCCCCAACTGGCCGAAAAACAAATTTAAAAACAAAGTAAAAGGGCAAAATTTATACAAAAAGACTTTACAAGTAACGAAGTGATAATCAGCTGCAATCAAAGTGATCTCAGAAAAGAACCCTTAAAAAAATTCCGCCTTCGATCAGATTCGAACCCGGGCCTCCCAGATAATAGTTGGGGACTGCTACCAATTGAGCTGTGAAGCCACATGATGTGAGGGAGACAAATTTTGAAAGGTTATTCGTTCCCGTAAAGGAATCAGGTCATAATTATATGAAATAGATAATGTTGACCTACACGAATCATACTTTCACCGGGGATAAAAACCTTGCAGCTTAAAACTACTTGTTGAAGCAGATGTTCTGCGATTTTCTTGCAATTAAATTGAACATCTAACTATTACAAAATTAATTCGAATTAATTTGATTGAACTCAACTTCAAGCTTTTACTTACCTGCCTATGTTAAGAACTACATTCCTTCTAGTGTTCGTAAGTCGAGTTTTTTGCCATCAATCTGCAGCGAAAAGGAAGTCACAACAGAGGATGCTGAGTAAACAAGATACTGGTGTCTGGAAAGTTAAAGAGGAGGAGGCAAACAACCACCGCAAAACGCCAAAACAAAATGCTCAGGTGTGTTTGGGGCATGAAATAAAAAAAAATGTGCAACTGATATACATGCAATCATTAAGTGTTGAATACAACTGAAAGACGATGATGATTTGGACCGACACTCAATGCTAAGAAAGTTAAGTTTGAAAAACAAGACTGACTCCCCTATTGATGGGCTATTTAAGCTTTCCGCAACGTGAAGTGACTTCAAAATTTGCTATTCCACCTGATTATGATGGTTGTCCATTGCAGCTTACACTCCTCCCCCTCTCCCTCCCCCTCCGCGGGATTTTGTCAGGTTTCCCTAGCCGTTCGCTCGCTCCTAGGTGGCGAGAGGCTCTCTGAGAAGACAGTGTTCATCCCATGAGGGCATCAACACGAGCTGGCCAAGGCAAGAACATAAACCTTTCGACCCGTAGTACGGTCCGTTTTCCATGTTAGCCATCCCTTTAGGTACATAACCCATTCTGATACAGGGTTTTAATAACCTTTTTCCATAAGCAGCTGTCGATGGTAAAATAGGCGGCTGCGCCCGAAAAGGGGCAGTATGGTGAAACCTAAACATGAGCCCGCCCTCAGGATAAACAGAAGGCAGTGAGAGGTCTTACAGTCAGCGGTACACTCCTTTTATTGTGATCAGCCATTCAATACCATCGTTCTATAGATTAATTAATCACCTCTATTTCGACCTCTTGAGTAAATGTCCGCGAGTAGCCTTTGACCATTTTCTTTATACCTGCTCTAAAGTAAACTCCTTTGTTGTGAAGCCTGAAACAAAAAGAAACAAAAAAACAAAAAAGCGGGAAAATTATAGATTCAACAAAGTCGCACTAACAATAAATTGCAAAACACAAAGTCGGTTTTTTTCATTTTTTAAATCTCTTTGTTTGTCCTCAATACATATTACTTAAAATAAGAAATTTTCACGGAGTTGCAAAAAAGTTGTGACATTTCAACCAAGTTGAAAGTTTTTCAAAACATTTAGAACTTAGCTTTTTTTGTTTGTCTTTAATTCTGAGCACGTGCAATATGTAAACCCTGTGTTGCACTCCAGAACTTATTTTGGCATGAGTCATTGACCAATCACGAACGAGATATCTGTTGGGCATGTGGTAATAGCCAAAAAGGGAAATTTTTCTTTTAAATTTCTTGTAATAACATAGAAAGGGAATGGTCAAGAAGCCTTTCCTTTTCGCTCAATTAGCAATATTTCTCCACAACCCCATACTTCACTATGTAGATAGTTTATGGATAAAAAAACAACGGCAGAAACAATATATTGCCTCTAGGACTATGACTTTAAATTGTTTTATTACAATAATAGTATGGGGTTATACAGAAATATTTCTGCTACTCATGATATTAATATCATTCTACGTTACTAAATAAACAGTAAATCCAAACATTTTCTTATTTTTGCTTTATTCAAGCATAGCCAACTCTGTACTTATTTTTACCACCGAGCTCATGTCCATTAAGAGGAAGTCGCTGTTCGATCCAAAGTTACTGCTGCAAATAGGATTTTGGCCGTTCGTGGCTGGAATGATCTTGTACTATCTGTATAGAAAGGCATCTAAGAAATCTGGCAGGCCTGAAACTGAAAGGAAAACAAAAAGAAATAATAAAACTGGAAACTGTTTAATTTATGAGATTATTCGTAAATGGTGTCACAATATACCTCTTACCCGGCTTAAGTTGGCTGTGACACGATTTTTTCCCCTCATTTTTGAAACTTTCCATGCGCAACGCTTGAAGTTCGTTGACCACCTCTGGAGCAATCAGCCCAGAAACCAGAACTCAGTTAGTGTCTGAGTAAGGTGACAATTTAGGTACAATGCCTGGAGCGCGGGCAAACGCCAGTGTCCAAGTCGCGATTGGCTTTTAATTTAGATCTGATTGGTTGACAGGATGGTGCGAGTTTTCTGGACCAATCACAGAGCAAAGTGAAGCAAACCCAAAGAGAACTTGGCTTGTTTTTCGACTCTTCACACTTACTTTAGACACCGAAAAATTGCTCTAAATCGATAATTTCTAAGAACCAGTCAAATAATTTATCGGAAAGTATTATCCGCCTCTATTGACGATTATTCAATGGTAACGCTACTCACTAAATGACAAGGAAAGTCACGGTTAGTAGGTTCAAATGGTTATGTTAGAGTTGTAAGAATTTGTTCGTTTGTACGACGTAATGGCGCTTATACATCCTATCTCTATTCCAATGGATAACTGAAGTTAAATGAGATAACTTAAACAAGAAACGAGGCGGTTTAATTCGGCTTTCGCTCACTGAATTCTTTCGGTTTCTGATGTGGAATCCTGTATTGAAAAAACTTTCATAGACTTACCCAAAGTTTAGCTTTAGAAGAAGAAGGAGTAAAAATATAGATAAGTAATTTGCCTGATGAAGGTGGGCCCTACTAGAAGTGAACTACGAGCAAGGTTTTAAACACGCTGTCCCGCCGGAAAAAAACGGATATTTATATATAACACAGCTCATCACCCGACAGATATCACCCGCTGCGAGCGTGAGAGTGTGTGTGCGTGTGTGGAAGAGGGGGGTGGGGGTGGGGGGAGAAGGGGGATTGCCCGCTCCTAGAACCAATCAAATCACAAAATTGTAAAATTCCGCCCGCTCACGAGCTGAGAAAAAAAGAGAAACTAATGGTAAGCTATTAACCGTCTAAGGGAAGGTCCGTATGGTGGAAACTTGAAAATGCTGCCCTCTAGCGGAGATTTCCACTGACATGTCATTTTCAATCCGAGGACATAATACTGCGGAAATAAGTTTTCCTTTTCGAGAAGTTGATAAAAGAAGAAAATGAAAATGCCTTTGAGATGAGATCCGTAGTTTTGGATTCCCGGCTCAAAAAAGTAAGTCAGTGTTCATGAAAAAAAAAATATTTAGCGTAAAGAAGATTTGGCATAATTTGGATTTGAAAGTCAAATACTGTTATGAGAAATAATAAAAGCGTTGGTTGCCGATGAATAGTCACGTTAGTCATATAATTTAGTCAGTTTATTCAGTTCATTGCAACATTATATAAATTAGTTATTAAAACTGCTCAAAGAAGAAAAGGGAGAAGAAAAAAAAACAAATAAACCTTATTTCAGTTCTCTTTTGAGGTAGACGTGATGGAAATTTTTGTCTATCTAAAACTCTCAATTTATTAAAAACAACAATGAAAACAGCTGTAAAAGCCTATACCTCTGTGTGAATTAATTATCTTCTGCTTATGCGGATAAACGCGATCAGATTCTTACAGAGTAAAGGGAAATCAGCATTCAGGTACTAAACATAAGAGTTTCGTTTCTTTCTGTTCTTATTTCATAATAGTTTAATTCATCTCTCTCGCTCACTATACGGTACAAAAGTTAGATTTGAAAGTAGAGAGAATTTTTTTGTTCATAGGAAATAAGCTTCCTAGATATTGACACATGGCGATCCTTTCGATGACATTATTTTTGTTCTGTTTGTTACCACTGTATTTATCCTAAAATATTCTAGCCTCTGAAGTTCTGTAATTCGATCATTTTAGTTTGTTTTCTCTATTTTTGTGATTTTATGTTATAGTTAGGTGAATTTTCCGCTTTTTTTGAGAAACAAAGGACACGAAAAAAGTTAAACATTTTAATCGACTGATTGATCGACATAGAAAAGAGTCTAAATTCTTCGAAAAACACAAATAGTAGTATTATCCTCGAAATAATAAACAAGAGTGTATGTTTTGTAATGGTATTTTACAATAGAGATGCGAATTTTACTGAAAGGGAAACATATTCCTTGTAAAACGTTAATTTGAAAGTCAAATGGCACCTGAGAAAAAAGAAACGAAGAAGTCAGTTAGTGAACGATAAACAGTTATATTTACAGAGTAACGGACATAAAAAAAAAAAAAAGTTTACAACTCTTCGATTTTGTGGAGTCTTTCCATAAGCCTTGTTCAAAAATCTATGTCCTGATGAGAAATTGAAAAATTGCTGAATCAATTAGTCTTTTAGGTGATATAGAAAGCGCGCAACGCATACAGATCTTTTTTTCTGTCAGTTCTTTTATGATGTGTTGTCAGTTACACAGTTATGCAGTAGAGTGATATAAGCGCAATTTCTCCTTCTATCTTCAATATATGATGATATTAAGCAGATTTACTTTGAGAAGAACGAGACCGGTTAAACCACAAAATCGCAAACCTAACATTTCTGCGGCTTTTCTTCATCTAAAGATTAAAAAACACTTTTAAATAGTTTCTCGCGACGTTCGCACCATAAACTATGCAAAATATGGCTAGAATATTTATATAGACATTGAAACATCTCTTGTTTAAAGGGAAGTAGCCGTTTTCTTGCCAAAAAGAACGAATAGTGACGGTTTTCGAATTTAAGATAAATTTCAAACAATGAAGAACCTAGTTATTTTATTACGAGCTCTTTTTATCTAAAGGTGGCGAGCCTTCCTTTTTTTATTGCGAGATAACTACATGTACACAGTCAGTACAGATGTCGATCCTGTTGATGAATATGCTACGTGCTTTGCCACAATATAGTTTCTAATATGTCTAGAATATTTTTCCACTACAAAATCAACTCGATTCCTTTCAGTTTTTAACCATAGTATGTGTGAGTTATGCTCTAGATGTGCATTTTACGCCCTGTCAAAACCAGTACACAACAAAATGAGTAAAACTTGAATCAATTCATGATAACACTTCATTCAATTCATCGAAATCTCATTTCCCTCTACCAACATCGTTATATTGTCAAGAAAATTAGTGTTGAGAATTTTGGAAAACGATCAACTCGATCAAATGAAAAATTCAAATGACATCAGAGCACAAACAAAAAGCATGCAGCTTGTAAAATTATCAGCTGAGTGATGGATAAAAGGATAACTATTCCCAGCGCGAGGATTTCAATTTATTTCCTCCAAAACTGTAAATGTGTCATCAATATCTTCGCTGAAGAGGTTGGAGAACACCACAAGGGAAAAGAGAAGCACTTTCTTTGTAGGAAGGAAAATTCCAAAAAATTTGTACATTCTTTCTTCCTTACATTAAAAATGCATGAACATAATATTTACTTTGCGCAACGGTCGGGATTTTGTTCAGCTTTTCCAAAGGAATAAAAATCACCTTTATATTTCATGTTTAGAGGATGAAAAGCGCCAAATATAGTATGGAATATTTTTATCGGTCGCCATGAATTAGCAATAAGTTTATCAATGATTCATCTCGTAACTGAATTCTAACTAAGCTCAGTGATCACATTGGAATTCCTATTTCTTATTTTATTGGGTTGTTAAGTAGTCTGTAAGCGAGAATTGAGAGACTGATTCATTTCGGGTGCATGTTGATGGACTGCGTAATTTAAACCTGATAATATGAACTTATCGAGATACTTTGAATGGCCTCTTTTCCAAGATATTTTGGCTAAGGAAGGAAAAGAAGAATAATTATCCGCTCTACAAAATTTCGTACGTGTATTTGAGGTCATTTTTTTTTTAAAAAAGACAAGAATAGTGATAGGGAATCAAAGTGGAACTAGCTTTTACTACCTTTTACTATTCCTCACATTTAGGATTAGTAGGGGCTTTGGAATCGGTAGCGAACTACCAAGATTTTTTAGGATTAAAACTTTTAATATTCTTCACATTACTATTATTACTTTTTTTTCTAATTATCTTCTTATTCAAAGTTCAAGAAGTAAACGTAAACGAAGCGTGTATCCGTTAGTTGTTCTTAGATTTTTATTTGACATTTTCATGTTTTTTTCGATTTTTATGGATTTTATCATTATTTTGTAAATATTTTTAGTAATTACAGTGAATAAAGGATTATTATTACTACCTGTCTATGATCAAAATAAAAGGGAAACAGCGATTTTTATTCGAAAATTGCCGACTCTATGTAGATGAAGTTAATATAAAAATTGCTTTCTTATAAGGTGAATACAAGCGCTTAATACATATGGCTTCTGTAGTATCAGACGAAGAAGAAAGGAGACTTCGAGTAAACACAAGCTAGCACGAGGTTTATTCATGATGGCCGACCTTTAACCCAGCATGCAATGCAAAGCCTAATCCTACAGCTTCCTTAGATACATATATCACTCCACGCGTTAAAACAAGACAAAAACTTATATTCACAAAGCTGCTCTTTCAATTTTTTTTTTTTTTTTATTTCGTGTTCCTATTTTGGAATTCTTAGTCCAACAAAAGATTTTACAACCGGTTTATTAATCTTTCTTGTTGGCTTTTGCTGACCATAGGCAGGGACTTTTTTCTCCTTTACCATGAAATATTGAAAGCTTAAAAAAAAGACAGCATTCGAATTCAATTTCTATTTAGATTCTGAATGCAGAAAAGTCATCCATCAGTCATAAGGGTTCCAAGAATTAATATTTTTTTATGCTGATATTAGATGACATCAGCCTCAGTAACCAAAGTACATTATCCCAATTTCAGATTTAAAAAAGAGTTAACTCTCTCAACATATCAACATTTTTTTTCAGGAAATAGGTGTCGAGAAAAACGAGATTCATCATTTATGGACTATCGAGAATAAACCGTATAATAAATGATCTTGTTGTTTTCAATTTTGGTCCCAAACTACGTAATGGACCGAACAAGAGATTCGGCTTCTTTTCAATACACTTTTTTCTAGAGTTGGTTCTCAAACTAGCAATGATTTCCAAAACTCAGGTGAAATAATGGTTCATAGAAAAAAAGAATCACTTTCGTCGAAGATAAAAGCATACATAAACATAATTTTCTATTTGAAAACAATAATTGCATTTCACTGTGTCTACATGGATTTTGTTTACAAATCTCTGTTGGCTTGATGTAAGCTTACAGTGAATAAGGAAAAATTAAGCATATGAACTTTACTTCTAGAGCACACAACATTGTGATGGTATCTTCAATGGCCAAGTGGAGTTTCATCCTTGTTTTCTGTAAGCGCCTTGGCTGTTTACAACCATTATCTAAAAATTTTAAGCTTTCTCATTTTTTTTTCTAATTATGAAGGAGGGGAGGCTCCATGGGTGGGGTGGGCGCCACTGGGAAGGGAACAGAGATAATGAGTGGGATATTCGTCGAAGGAGGGCATTGAAGAGTTAGAGGATGAACGAAGACGGCATCTGCTGAAAGATGAGCAAGAGATCGTTATCTCTTGAATATGAATGTATTATGCAACTTTTAAGTTTAAAAACTATACATGTGAAATGGGCGCATTCTTTGTTACAAATTGTCTAAGACGTCACGATTGTCCCATCTGAGGTTGAAATAAGGATCTCCTGCATATTTTATATCTCTTTTAAGTTCAACAAAATTAACTCAAATTAAAATTCAATAAAATAGTTCCAATGAAATGTATTTGAAAACCAGTGATAAACCAACTTTTCTCTATCCTCGATACACTTTTTTTCACAAGGAAACTAGATTTACGGTCTTAATTCTAAATCGCTGGCACTTTTTCCATTTGGAATCGGAGACTCTTTGGTGCAGTGGCTATACTCCAAGCTTGGTGAGCCCTAGCCCTGACCGACAATTTATGTTGTGTTATTGAGCTAGTTACTTCACAGAACGTCTGTGCTTATTTCTTCATTTAGTTTTTGTTTCTGTCAAGCTAGGATAACCTCTGCGGGGCAATATATGGATTTTTTAAGATTTAATTTAACTCGAATGTTTGAAATCGTCATTCGTTTTGTCCCAGCTGGAGCAGAGGTCGATTTGTGGGTACTACTTCACTCTCTCCTGCGCGGAGTATAAAATAAAGTAAAGTATATTTTTATTTAGGATTTGTTTAATGGTCTAAAATTCAATAAATGGAGTAATTGTGCTCGCAAGACAGAGCTCAGCTTTTTTGCAAGCCACTGTCTTTTTTCTTGGTCTTAATGTATCATTTATAATTTCTTCATAATAACTATCAACTGTTTTTGTTGCAACCAGACTAATTGACTCGTTGCAGTTATTGCAGGTTTGATTGAGTATGATAAGCAAGCACGTGCACAAGATTGGAAACGAGTCCAGGAGTTTGACGGGAAAAAATTTCTCTCAGTTTCACGGGGAAATTATGTGGAACTAAACTTTACAATACGCAGCGACATTCCACGACTATGTCTATGGGGATTTAATCTTGAAATTCGTGATGGCAGTAGTCAGTCAACCAATCTTCTTGGTGAATTCTGTGGAGATTACGGAACTGGAGTAGTGAGATCCAGTGGACGATACATGTGGTTGAAATTTATCGGGACAGGTCTCTATAACTTCGACGTATTCTATACCGCCAGATCCATCAATGAAACAGGCATGATGTTTCTTTCAATAAATCAATACATACCTATATATATGCATATAGATATATATCTATTACTAATTGTAAATTCCAGAAACAACTAGATTTTTCGTTAATAGAGTAAGAGAGTTGGTAAGTTTTGAGTTTGGTAAAGAGGTAGAAAAATACGTTTTTCGTCTGGTCTCGAGCGTAGGACGAAGAAAAGAAAATTTCCAAAACTACAAGGCCTTATCCACTTTGTGAGATTATTTCGCCATTCCGCAACGAATTTCTTTACTTCTTTTGCTGAAAGCCAGGCTTCTTTTTTACTTTCACCTATGGACTCTTTTCCTTTTTAATCTTTCTCCATTCACATGCTAGTTTTAAACGCAGACGGATAACAGAGATTTTCGCCCGCATTTCAATATCTCACCAAAATGTTCTTGGAAATTATAGTGAAATCAATAATGCTTAGTTTGACATGAAAAAAAAATTAAAACATAAAAAAATAAAAAGTTGGCACTCGAAGGTCTACCGTATCCTTAAATCCACAGACAGACAGGCGGAGACAAAGAAAGGGGAAGGATACAAATAGAATCCGTATGTTACTTTGGCCTGAACACTGAATTGTGTCAGAGTTAGAATATTTTTTGATGTGCATGTATACGAATTATCCTCCCGAACTGTTTCTAAGGTTTTCTGCATACATACACCATAATAATTCCAACAATTACTTCCCTTTTTTCTTTGAAATCTAATATAGTCAATCCTACGTTGGATCAAGCTGCAAATACGCAGTATGTATTTTTGAACAGAACCTCTAAACTGTGGTGCCCAGTGAAAGGTGCGCCAGCTCCATACATTGTATGGAGAAAAGATGGTGTCACTGTTCAAAATAGTACCAGCATAACATTTCAGCTTCAAGTAACTTCAGAAGACAACGTGAATTACAGCTGCGAGGTAAGAAGAGATGGAGAGGTATTAAGAAGAAACATCAGCCTCAGAATTGAAGGTGAGGTATTATTGTTTTGTTGAAGTATATCAGTACTTTGTATAATTGGATTGTCTAAACCTGTACTTTTTCATTTGCTCAAAATTCTAACCACCCCAAAAACGTTTAAGCTACTTTGGTGGTTGGATCTTATTTGACCTTTCAAAAGTGATCTTTCTATATCCCTTTAATTTAATTTGTATGTTGTTTTTAGGTTTGAATGTTAATTATTGGTATGATAGTTATCTAGTGAAGGGGAAGGCGTATATGATGATAACCAAAGGAAATTCACATTTGTACGCTTAAACTTGTTTCTATTCCAAGTGAAGTTACTTTACCAGTTTGTCGATTTTGGCGCCTGCATAGAGTGTACCTGAAGTTCGTGTTTTCAATCCAGTTTTCATCTTTGACTCATGATCAGTTAATTTACATCGTAACTCTGAAGTGTTCGTTTAATCTTGGTAATTGTGATTTTACAGTAATGTTCTATCAAAGTGAAATATTCTTCGTTGCCCAAACAACTGACTTAAGTCTTACAAATTTGAAGCCTTTGTTGACGAATTTTAACGGCCAATCATTTCTTGCCTCATTTTAGAGTGCCCAGGCTCTTGCGAATGTGACGTCTTCCACCAAACTATCGTTAGTGTGAATTGCAGTGGAAAAAGCTTTAATTCAATTGCATGGAAATTTCCGCCTGCTATGTCAAAATTGTGAGTGTAATTAAACAGTTATAAACACAGCGTGTAGTTTAATAACAAAGTGGGAAATGAAGGATTTGCTTTATCGGGTTGATCAAAGAGTGTAATTAGCTGTCAAGCCACGCTAACGAAGAATCTAAACTCATTTTAAGTCTTAACTCTCGATTTCAACAACGGTTGCAGCACACAGAGCTGAAAACGTTCTATAATACGTCACTGAAATAAAAGTGAAAACAATAAACTTATCAGTTCAGTTTGGTTTATCTGTTGACGTTGTGACAACATTTAGTTTGCGCTACTTTTTCACTTTAACTGGTGTAATAGCTGACCAGAAATCAATGTAACTATCTTGATGCCTGGGATACAAAACATTATTTATATCAAGGCTAAAGATAAGGAATAAATTATTCGATCAATGAAATTTGAACCATAAAACAGTTGCTTAATACCAAAGGAAGTAAAAGAACGCCAATAATAAGAAGCACCGCATGAGCCAATTGCTAGCGCTGCTCTTAACACTGCAAAGTTCAGTGGCCAACTGGTGAGAGTGTTTGACTCCAGATTGACAGGTTCGGATTTAAGCCCTGGCCAGATCAATGTATTGTGTTTTGGGAAAAGACATTCTCTCTAGCCAGAGATCAAAATAGATACAGTGAAACTAAGAATAATATCCCTTCTCTTCAGAAAGTGGCAAAATATCAGGCGGTGATGGATCATTAGGCTGACGAGAGTAACCTATGATTCAAGATACGATATTAGTCATTTATTAGTTGTTTTCTTTATAAATTTCCTTATAGTTTTGACAATGAAGAGATTAGACGTTCAGGTGTCATTCTTATCGTAACGGTTGTACTCAGCATGTACTTTACACGTTCTAACGTTATCTTGATAGGCACTTAAGCAACAACAAGCTGAGGGACTTGCCCCAAGGAATCTTCAGTAATTATACCCAGCTGGAGTGGCTGTAAGCCAAGACTATTTGTTATTTGTGTCAGACACGTTTGTAATGATTCTTGATAGGAATTTGAGTAACAGTGAACTAAAGGACTCCTCACCGAGTAATCTGCGGTTGTAATGTTGAGTCTTTCTAGCTCCCAAAAATCATGACTAGCTTCGCCCAACCTTTACATGAACACCTGAAGTGTACCTGAACTCATTACTTCAGTTACTGTGTCAGTGACACGGACTGACGTGTGATCTTGTGGCCTGATCGTCCGGATGGGGGTAGTCCTGCGAAGGATTGTTGTCGACTGACAATATTTCTTTACTCGACCCTTAGGATAACCTCCGCTGGACTTATCGAAACGTTGGAATTGGTTCCGAACACAATCCTTCGAAGCACCACTTTCACCCGGACAATAATAATTACCCGATAAATTCTTCTTAATTTGGGGAGCCTCCCCGCTAGAGATTGCGAAATCCCCCCCCCCTGCTTTTTTAGTGTTAATGGGTATTTAACCAATGCCCCCTCCCCCTCCTTCAGGCTCTGGGTTTACATAGAGCTCCCAAATCTAAGAATTAAGGCACAGTCTCCAAAAATAAAGAAAAAATACTTAACGTGAAAATGGAACGAGCTCACTTACAGTTCTGGTTAAGCACAAAATAGGCTATATTCATGGCTGATAGAAAAGAAATGATTACATAGATTTGTTTGAGCCCCCCTATCAAAGCTCACACGAAAGTACAGCATTACCGGATGCACCCTTTGATTTAATGTAATTATCGAATACATGGTAATGAACACCACCCTCTATCAATTCTTGGCAGGGATATTAGCAACAACCAGTTGAAGGAATTACCATCAGGCATATTCAGTAACAATACCAAGCTGTCCGCCCTGTAAGTTAGGACCCTTTCTTCTTTTTGTAAAGAATGCCTAAGATCCATCTCGCACAGGGCAAGATAGATATCATATCAAAGCATGCAAGGAAATACAGCATTACTGGATACACCCTTCAATTCAACGTAATTGTTGAATATATCGTAACACCACCCTCTATCAATTTTTGGCAGGAATATAGGCAACAACCAGTTGAAGGAATTACCATCAGGCATATTCAGTAACAATACCAAGCTGTACGCCCTGTAAGTTGGGACTCTTTCTCCTTTTTGTAAAGAATGCCTCTAGAGGAGAAAGTTTCTTCTTGTTGCGCTTGATTTTAAATCTGCTATAAAGTATACGTTTGTTAGGTAAAGAAAAATAAACAATAGACCATCAATGAAGCAACACAAAATAAGACAACTGGTCAGGTCGAATTTAACTTATGCAAGTCACAAATTTATTCTAACATTCAAGTTGAACCTTGTGGCGAAGTGATGTTATCTCACTTTTCCAGCTTTACAACAAAATGTGTAAAGCACTTAGTTGTTCTCAGTGCTTAAAAATTTAAAAACCAACAAGTTTCAATTAGTTTTGAGCCATATTATAATTCGTAATGCTACCTTAGGTTTTTATATTTAAAAAAACGGAAAAGAAGACATCGGTTCTTGTAGAATATGACTTTGTTAGGGGATTAGAACATTAAAAAATAAGAAATTTCTAGCATACACAGTTCCTGCACTTAACTTTCATAAGTGGAGGCACATAGTTTGTCTTCTGACTTTTTATAGACCTGTTTCATACGTCCCCAATATTAAACTAAAATATATGTAAAGTAAAAAGTAAGGACTATTCTTCTTAGTTTTAATCCTGCTGACATTTTAAAAGGAAGACAATAGGACGTAAACAGATAATTTCAGGGACAATTAGTGGCATTCAAGGCTTTATAATAATTAGACTGTGTCGCTAAAGTCACAGATTTGTATTATTGCTTGATACATTAGTCTTGATAGACCCGTCAGCCCCCGCTATAAAAAGCTGAGCTCGGAATCCATCTTACATGCAGGGAGGATGTAGTTTTTAATTACTTGGTGATTATTCACCCCAATATAATCAAATTAATCGTTAATAATTTATACAGTCATCCATTCAAGCACTTCTCAGCCTTATTCCCTTTGGAGCGTTAAGTTGGGAAAAGGGGGAAGTGGGGGAATAGCCCTTAGAGGCCTATTTTTACTATCCAAAGGGAAGTGCGTCTCGTTGTGTCGTTCAATCGTCCTTGATTTCGATGGATGAAAAGAAAACTCAGGCACATTATCATTTATTCGAGTCTCTCATTAAGGCTCTCTAAGAGTCTTATTCATTGTGCATTAATTTTGGTCCAGAGGATGTGACCATCACTTTTGAATGCGGGTTGCAAGTTTCAATTCTGCGATAAAAAGACAATCTGTATAAAACAAGGTAAACTTTATTTATGCTGGAATGCTGATTATGCGACGCTGTCGAGAGATGTACCCATTAGTCGCATCTTCTTCATTTTCAATACATCTGCTTGTAATCAAGTGTAGATACCGGTCGCAAGTTTCAATTTCTCAGTTAAAGAAAATCCGAATAGGATTTTTATAATATGCTATAATCGAAAAACATCCAATGTATGAACCTCGACTTGCATAAAATTATGCATGTTTTGTTGTTTTTCCTCCCAAATTGTAGGAGGGTCTTGTAATGATAGGACTGTGGTGCAAGATATCGTGACCTTGTAGAACCATGTGTTTTTAGGCTAGTAGGCCATCAAACCTGTCAAACATGGAATTTACCCTCGATTTACACTCGAAGCTGGACATCTATCGAGTAGTGTCTCCCATCACATACATCGCGTCAGAAGCCCTCGATATATACACTCTGGTTTAACCTTTACCTCCAAGGAAGAGAAAGGTAGGATCGATACAGTCTTCCAGATGTGGAATAATTACTGCTTGGCAAGACGAACACAATTTTCGAGCGCTAAACAAATTTCAGTCTTAGTAGAGCGGACTGACATGTAAGAATGTAAGTGGATCTGGACTCATGACCAGAGAGATGCCTTCGAAGAGATCAAAGACGCTGCTAAAAAAGCGGCAGAACTCAAGTACTTCAGAAGGGGTGACCCAACAGAGGGCCAAGGAGATACGTCCAAGAATAGACTTGACTTTTTACTAATGCGGCATGGTGAACCAGTGACACTCCCGTTGGCAGAGAGGAAGTACTCTAATATCGAGAAGTAATTTTTGTTCTCGGCCTTGGCACGGAGCATAACCACCAATATGTGTTCGTTAAGAAAGTCATCCTGCGGACTGATCAAAAAGCCCTGGTCTTTATTATGCAGAAGCCCTTAGCATCAGCACCCAAGAAGCTAGAGTGCCTTGTTACCACTTCAGCAGTATGACTACGAGATAAGCTACAAGCGTAGGAAAAGGATGCTGCCGGCCGGCTATCTATCGAGAGCTTTCATGAAGGACTGGGAGCTTACCCGCGCAGAACAAGTGGTCGATCGCATTCATACCAACCATTTCCTTTCCGTTCCGGATCACCAACTCAATGAAACTCAGAGAGAGAAATTTGTGAGCCAACTCTACAGAGGCTAAAAAACACAACCTTGGATGGCTTTCCTGATACAAAAGATGATCTTCCAGCAGTCATCCATCCGAGCCGCTCTAGACGAGCCTCAAGCACCTCCGTTAGCAGACGCTACAATATGACCTAACAACTAGACAAAGCCACAGCGGCAAAACCAAGAACTGGCCAGTCACTTTCTGTAACACCTGACAAGCTCCAAGCAATGGAGACCAGACCATTAGATCTGGACGGTTGTCAAAGCCGTCAAGTTACTTGCAGGACTATGCTGACTATAGACCACCAACCCCACCCATCTACCGCTTAAGAGTTCATAGCCACAGAGTACATATCACTGACTGTAAGGCATGCAAATTTTGCTTCACGAAGCCTAATCAGGAGACGAACATGCCGGTTTTCTTTTAATCATCTCTTTTGAAGTCCGAAGCAAATTATTTTAAACGTAGTTTTTATTTTAAATCATGACTATAACTGGCATTATAAACCTGAACATAGCGTTCTAGTTCGCACCTGCTCAATTTAACACGCTGTTTATAATTTTTGATATAACTATTGAGACGTTTTGTGTCATTTTTTTTAAATTTCCCACTCTTGTCCTTTATCGGTAACCATCTACAGAACTTCAAGAGGTCAGGGTTGACAAGACCACTCGAAATCAATGGGAAAACTACTTTAAAGGAATGCTAACTCAGCTTTTATATGCGCGTTGTTGATGCTCAAAGGAACGATTACAAAATCATAAAAACAGAGGTAAACATTGTAAGTACTTTCGTGACTAAGACGTAGAGACAATTATTAACTTATCATTAGCGGTAAAGAGATCCTGTCATTGAGCAGAAAGTACCACACAGGGAGATCGGATCGCTATGGCTTTTTGTGCTTTAAGCATCCAACCTCTTATCACGAGTCTACAGGTAACGTCCACAGCAAAGCAGTGCTCGTTCGCCGATGATGCAGGTGGGACAGGCTCTACTACAGAGATGAAGAGATAGTGAGACATGTTGAGTACCCTGGGTCCAGACTTTGGCTACTTCTCAAACGGCAAGGAGCGCTGGATTATCGCAAAGCCGAAACAAGAAAGACAGCGTGAAAGAAGTATTTAAGGAAACGGCATTAACATAACATCTTTTTCCTTAATAAAATGCGCCTACACCTGCTCGAGGGGTTTTAACGCGAAGAGTGCTTTGCGATGCAAAGAATGCTGGGTTTGACGTCAAGACAACGGAGAGAAGTAATTCGACTCTGAAATTTTAGATTTCATCAGCTTTTGATTGATATTTTAAGCGTAGTTATTTTAAACATGGATTCAATTTCTAGCCACATATTTTTTTATTTTATTAAGTTTTTTTTCATAAAGATTAGTATTAAATCACAGTGCATACCTGCTGGATATATGTACATTGGAAAGACCGTTTTTTAGCTGCTGTAGACGACATTATTCCTACAAAACCGTGAAAGGTCGTTGCCCTGTTCCTTGGCTGTCAAGTGCAATTCTCGACCTGATCAAGAAAAAGGAGTATGTACGGAGGAAGCTCAAGTAGCATCCATCCGTCAAGCTGAGGGAGAAATTTACGGGCTCAGATCAGATCAGATCTAGCTTTGAGTCTGCGAACATTGACTTCAAATCCAATCCTGGACGCCTATGGTCAGTTCTTAACATAAACCCAATGACACGTAGCATCCCAGAGCAGGTTTCCATGGAAACAGGCAATACAAGATCAACTGCTGACACCCCTAGAGATATATCAGGGATGTTTAATTAATACTTCACACCGGCTTTTGTAGACAATACAAATACAAACTCATCCTGCTTACAGAGGACTCTACATCAAACTCCGTCATTTCGGACATTTCTCTGGCTGTTCAAGAAGTTCAATCAATTTTTAAGGCGTTAAAACCTAAAAAAGCTATCGGTCCCGATGAGATTCCTAACAGACTCCTCAAAGAGACCGCTCCTATCATTGCTCCGTCATCAACCGTGTTGTTCAATATATCTCTACGTGAGGATAACATTCCAAGTGAGTGGAAGCTGGCATACATAGTACCTCTCCACAAGAAGAATGATAAGACATACGTCGAAAACTACTGCCCTATCTCCTTACTCGGTATCGTTTTCAAAGTTATGGAACGTTGTGTTCTTACCAATATGAAGGAACAACTGTCCGGGCTTACATCTGCCGGGCAACATGGATTCCGGAGTGGCAAATCATGTATAACCAACTTGCTCGAATCGCTGGACAGTATCGGCTTACTTTGGGATAAGGAAAGTCAGATAGGCTCTGTTAACCTCGACATGTTTAAGGCGTTCGACAAAGTCAGACACGACCTTTTATTGCACAAGCTCCAAGAAGCGGCTTTCGGCGGAAACTTACCAAGATGGTTTAGTTCCTACCTTATAGACCGGCGGTAAAGTGTCACCGTACTTGGTGTATTCTCACGTGACCTACCAGTTACTTCCGGGGTTATACAAGGTCCATTTTGGGACCAGCCTTATTCCTTATTTATGTGAACAGTCTCCTGAGTGCCGTAAGAAACAGCGAGGTAATGATGTTTGTGGACGGTACAAAAATACCCATCACGTATTGGCACGAAGTTTTGGAAATGATAGTCTTCTACAAGGCTATGCAAAATCTTGTCTCTTTGAATGGTTCTATATTACCTTTAAAGCGTGTTGCAAGAACCACGCGCTACACTAACACCGTCATCAAATTTGTTCCTAAAAATTGCAAAACAACTACTTATCAAGAGTCCTTTTTCATCAGAACTTGTCGGATTTGGAACACCTTAGTCAGTATCATTAACATTGAAACCCAAACTCTGAACTCTGAACTCATTCAAAACCGTAATGTTTAACAACTATTGGCCAGTTTACCTATCTATTACGATCCGGATAATCCCAAAACCTTTAAGTCTATTTGTTTAAAATATAATACTGTCCGTCAACTAACTTGCTGCATATAGATTGATAGCTTTTTCCCCCCTGTCTTATCATCTCGTTTTCTTCTACATTCTGGGCCTGCTGTAATTGGCTACGCAGTTGCGGTGTCCCCACCATTTTTTGTCGTTTTTTGTCATTTTCTTTTTTTTTTTAAATCTATTTATTTTGATTGGTGTTGTATGGCGAAGTTAATAAATAAAATAAATAAATAATTGTTATAAGAAATACCGTTGCTATCATAACCATTGTTGTTTTTGCAGTGATTGTAATTTTTTCTTCTATGAATCAAAATGGGCCCTTGTTTGGTATCCATAACACTCAGACTCTTCACTGGTTGTCCTGTCATTGAAATGCGAGCAATGTTCGATTTGGAAGGATTTAATGAAGCAAGAAAAAATAAAAAGCAACGTCAGGGAAAGAAAAAGAGTTAATGAGCATTATTTACGTACTGACATCAAATAAACGACTATGAGAATTTCCCACTCTACGCTTGCGAGGTGTCAGTGGATGATGAACCAAGTTCCAATAAAACCATTAGGCAAAAGTCGAGAAAATGCTGAAGAACAAAATGGAAGCACTCGGTTTTGAGTCCAGAAATGTTCTTTACATTTTTATAGAGCTGTTTCGAATGTCCCCAAAGGTTTTTAACCCTTCAAGCAAGTTCCTCTGTGAGAAAAACGATCTTACTTGAATTAGTCATAAATGGTAAAAAGGAATCAAACGAATAAGTCGTAAATGGTAAAAAGGGAATCTAATAAATTTATCGTTATCTCCATAACTATTTGATTGAAGAAATTATAAATGGATGTTCTAATCGACATCCATGAAGAGCGAAATTCAGAAATGGATTTAATTGGTTCTTACCCAAAACATCTCTAGCTACCTAAAAGTATTGATGATAATGATGATGCATTTAGATTGATAAAGCAGCTGAATACTTATTACACAAACTAACCATCGTCATTTGCTGACAGGAGTTTGCACAACATCCAATTGGAGGACTTGCCAAAAGACATATTCTATAGAAATATCAAGCGATTTTAATCCTAATGACTTTTTAAAAGCAAGACAAGAGGACATGAACAGATACTTTTAAGGATAGTTTGTGGGACTTAAGGCATTACCATAATCATACTTTGTCGCTTAAGTCCCAGATTTGTCTTATTGTTTGATACATCAGTCTTAATAGACCCTTCAGCCCCCAATATAAATAGCGAAGCATGCAATTAATCGCGCCTACAGGGAAAATATAGTTTTTAATTACTCGGCGATAATTTATACTGGTTATTCATTAACAATTTAGATATAATAATCCATTCAAGCAATTCTCGGCCTAATTCCCTTTACAACGTCGAGGTAAGAAAAACAAAGGGAGGTTGAGGAAGAGAGATCTGGCCACTAGAGGCCTTTTTTTTTTGCAACCCGAAGAAAAGGGTGCTTCGTTGTGTCGTTCAATCGTGCATGATTTTTTAATCTGCTGACAAGGATGAGTTTGCTAGTTACGCCGAGGATAAACACTGAAAAAACCATCAATGAAGCAACATCACAATGTTTCTAGCCACTACGTGATAAATCAAAGCAATGCTCGGTCAAATTTTAAGTACGCAGGTTACTAATTTATCCAAGCATCAAGCCACACAAAAGTATACGTTATAGGTACGTTCGTGGCTAAGATGTGGAGACAATTATTAACTTAACACTGGCGGTAAAAAGATCCTGTCAGTGAGCAGAAGGGATCACTAAGGGAGATCCGGTTGCTATGGCTCTTTTTGTTCTTAGCGTCCAGCCTATGATCACGTGTCTCCAGGTGGCGTCCATAGAAAAGCAGTGCCGGTTCTCCAATAATACTGGTGGGACAGGTCATACTACAGAAATGAGATAGTAGGGTATGCAGAGTACCCTGGGTCCAGATTTTGGCTTCTTTCCAAACAAAAAGAAGTGATGGCTTATCGCAAAGCCGAACAAGACAGAAAGTGTGAAGGAAGTATTTAAAGAAACGGACATTAACATAACAATATAGAATGGAAGGCACAACGGGGCGCAGCGATAGGCTCTCGAGAGCATCAAGAGGAATTCGTCAATGAGAAGGTGCCTGATTGGGTTGGTGAAATAGGTTAATTGGCAAAGTTCGCTTAGACACAGTCATAGGAATTCCATGCCGTTTCCACCTTAGGCTTAAAACATCGGTAGACTTACTTTCTGGCAACACTGCTCAAGCACTAGGGTCTACTAGAGCCACTGGAGAATGTAATATCTCTGGGACTTATTACTGGGATAACGAAACGCAAGTGTAATCAGCTAGATACTAACATCCAGCGCTCGTATTTGCCTGGGAGGCGCCTGTGCCTTGCAAATCCAAGGCGGGAGTACGCTTCATCAGTCAAAGTGACAACGCACCTCGTTAAGCATCTCAAACATCTTAAACACACCAGCTACCAGACGAGTCTCTTAGTAAGTCGGCACACAACGTAATCAGTTGCGAAAGACCAGGAAAACTCAAAGACACCAGGGTAAGGGCACAACCAAAGATTAAGCTAGTGCTTGACCTGGCAGCTGAAAAAGGGTCATCGGTGTGGCTGACAGTACTTCCTCTACCAGAGATGTGCTCCAATTTGATTAAACAGGAGTTCTGTAATGCTGTCAAAGCACAATATGGCTGGCCGGTCGATGATATTCCCTCCACGTATCCACGAGTGTATGCGGACAAGTCTTACGTTAGACAACGCCATGATTTGTAAACAAGGGACTTATGCTCGGTTTCTTGCCGTAACCTGGGGTAAGCCAGTCTTTGGTGGTTTTCCAATCTTGTATTGGATTGGCTTTTCTTCTTGGCTGTTTTGGCCTGTTGAGTTTGGCGTTTTGTCAGCTCACGGGTTTTTTTGCCGGTTTTTTGGTCACCCATCCATTTTTTGGGCTTTTTGTTGTTTTTTCGCCATGGTTTTGGAGTGCGTTAAGACATTCATGCGTCGGAGATGGTGGCAAGCTATGAAAAGGCTCAGTTACGCTCCTTATGCATTGATTTTGAAGGGCTTTCTGCCCCCAGGGGCTTGATACGTGTTACCTTTAAGAATGCCTCGGATAAAGAGGAATTTGTGCGTGTAGGTTCGTTAACGTTAGATGGGCACGATCTTAGCGTGACCTCTTTAGATAAGCCGTATTCTTTGGTTTACGTGCATTATTTTCCCGTTGAAGGTGATGATGCTTTGATTCGTGATGAGCTGGGTAATTATGGTGAGGTTATTAGTATTAAGCATCAGAGTTTTCGGGAATTCCGAACACACTGGGTCACACATTCTCACGATGGTATTGTCGGACCCAGTTCCTGCTGAGTTTCGTATTGATGACTTCCCTGTGCAGGTGTGGTATAAAGGTATCCCTCTGTTCTGTCAGATTTGTAAGATCAGTGGTCATAAGGCGGCGGATTGCCAGTTTAACGGAAAGTGTAGCATCCCCCAACACAAGGCGCATGCTATTGCTGTATGAATGGAGGTTGCAGTTGAGGTGGTGCCTGACCCCTCATTTGTGCCACTGATGTTCTGCCGTTTGTCGATTGAGGTTGCTGATGAGGAAGATTGTATCGAGGAAGATTGGTTACGGATTTGAGGAAGATGATTTTACGGATTTTTCCTGTTAGTACCCCTGCGGGGGTTTCTGTTCCAAGCCCCTCGGGGCGTGTTTTGGGGACAAAATGGGCCTTTGCTAGGTATCGGTCTTAACGCTCAGAATATTCAGTCTCTGCCCCCTCGCCTGTTGCTTCATGTAGAATTTTCACCCCTGAGCTTCGTAGGAAGTTTTTTGTGGGGTATCGTGATATGTTGTGCCAGTGTTCCGGGAATGCTGCCTACGATCGATTTGATGCGGATTTCATAACGCAAGATAACTTAGATAAAATGCAACTTGTCCGTATTTCCAAAGAAAAGTGATGAGTTAAAGAAGTTTATTCTCATTAAGGATGACCGCTATCGGAAATAATACTGAACTATAATGTTTTGTTTACGGACGCTTTGGAGCTTACGAGGCTTTAAGTGTCGGTGGATTATGAACCAAGTCTCAATACGACCATTAGGCAAAATACGAAAATGCTCTAGAACAAAGTGGAAGTACTCGGTTTGAGTCCAGAAATGTTCTTTAGATTTTTATAGAGCTGTTTCATGCGTCCCTAAAGATTATTAACCCTTCAAGTAAGATCCTCTGTAAGCCAAAGTTCTGTCTTTGCGATAATGGTACTAATGCTGGAGACAACTTAAACCGCAGTAACGATTGTTCCTTATCGGTCTTAATTACAAATTCATATTTCTGTGAAACTTTATCAGCTTCAGAGCTCAGAAGCCTATTTTCAAAGATGGCTGTAGTTATAGTGTTGTAAAATTTCATACTATTTGCGGCTCTTTTATTCTTCCGTGACCATGAAAAATTAGCCTTTTCCCTAGCAGTCCTACCACAAATTAGTCGCAAATGGTAAAAAGGGAATC